TCCTCACTGCTTTAAAGTTAAAGTTAAGCGGTTAAAATTAAGGGCTTTACTATTTAATTAAACATAAACATATCTGTTAAAAAGTGCTTCCCTTCTTTCTATTATTACTTAAAAGCAAATAAAGTATTTTTTTTAAACAGTGATCATAAAACAACCACTTCCAATTCTTCATGTTAACTTTAAGGCTCTATATGTACACTACATAAATCTTGGCCAAATCTACTTTTATAAAGTAGATGAAAAAGCAGAGAGCAAACTTAAAGCATCAGTATGCTGAGTTTCTATATTTATGAAAGATATTTTCTTTTCTAAAAATTTAGAGTTTTCCTTTAAGTATGTTGATTAACTCTTAACAACTCTTACATGACTATGTCAATAAGTTTTAATATTTTAAAGCAAATTACTGTTATTTGCTCTTAGGTCTTCACAAAATTAAAATGCCTTTTCCAACTTTTTGCTTTCTTCTCAGCAAAATTAAGCATTTATATCTTTTCTGAGCCATCTTATACTCATGTAATGCTGAAAAATCTTAAGAGTAAGCCATTTCTTATGCACATTCTATAGTATTCATTCCAGCACCACTTTTGCCAGAAGAAAATACATCAGCAATCACAGAAAGCTATAGTATATGTTACATATGCATTGACTATTAAAAATCAGCAGGGGGAGTAGACAGCAAAAATACTAGGAAAAAGCATCCCAGAAAAGCAATTTAATTTGCAGGCAACAGAAACATGATAGAGATCTTTGTTAAAACCAGACAAAATAAATTCCATAAAGAAGTCATATCCACATTTGCAAAGCTGGCCTACTTTATGCCTGAAATGAAAACAACAACAAAAAAAACCCCTTAAGTCTTTTAGAAGGACACCTGAATCTTAACTTCCACACAGACTTTCAGTTTGAAGCTGTGTGTGTGTGTCTGTGTGTGTGTGTCTGTGTGTGTGTGTGTGTGTGTGTGTGTGTGTGTGTGTGTGTGTTTCTCTTTCTGACTCTTTATGACCCCATGGACTATAATCTGCCAGGCTCCTCTGTCTATGGAATTTTCCAGGCACAAATACTGGAGTGGGTTGCCATGTTCTCCACCCAGGGATGGAATCCACATCTCCTGCATTTAGCAGGTGGATTCTTTACCACTGAACCACCAGGGAAGCCGTTTGAAGTATAAGGGCTTCAGGTAGGCTCCAGTAATGCCAAGCCTCAGAACTGCCCCAAATTCAGAGAAGACGACCAATTCATTTTTATAGTGATATATTTGGTGGTGGTGGGGAGTTGGTTAAGATGATTTTATTTTCCCCTTCAAATATCGCCACACTTACATTGAAGGTCTGGTGAAATGTGCATTGTTAGGTCATAAGAGGATATAGTTCTGTAGCGTAAACTTTGATGCTTAGATTCCTGGCCTACTCTCCTCACAGCCTCAATTTACTTTTCATGAGAAAAAGGTAACCAAAAATACTGTGAAACTATTTGGCCTTTAAAATAGTCTTAAAAGTTACTTTAGCTTTGCAAAATTTTTACAAAGGATGAAAATATACCTACCAATCCCACATTATGTTTAGTATTTTCTAAAAATTAATAAGTGCTGTATTTTCATTTTTAGAATAAAACAGGAAAAATATTTAGCTCTTCTGTTTGGAATTCTGTAGCTGAAATTTTAGAAAAGATTAAGCTTCTAATTAGAACTTCAAAATGTTTATGCCTATGTTATGCTTAAGAAAGTATAAACACTTTTTGTAATATAGAAATGTGTCCTGTAGACAGAACTGTATTATAAAAATTAAGAACTGGATTATAAAAATCTGTGAAACTTAAAATACCAAGCATAGATTACAACTGAACGGTTAAAAAAAAAAATTTAGCCAAGTAAGCAATAAATCAAGTTGAACCTAAACCTACAATAATACTAATAACGATAGGCATAGTGCATGTCAGACATTATTAGCTAGCTATTTTATACATATTCTTTCGAACTCTGACCTTTCAAAACAAGTATCATTGTGCTCATCTTATGCTAAGAAAACCAGCTAAAAAAGTTTGTCATTTCTCTAAAGTAACTCAGCTAGTAAGAAATAAAACTGTGATTCAACTTCCAGATCTGTCTGCCACCAACGCTTTGAGACATCACCAAAACCTCTCTTAACTCAAGGAAATCTGTACAAATCTCAGGCAGATTAATGTGCTTATGAGAGTAAATGCTGTCGATTTAACCACTCAAATTAAATGCCATCTGGAGTATCTCACCCCTACTTGGTACAAGCATCCTACACGTATTACAGCCAACACTGGCATTGGCCAAGAACTCTATAATTTTCCTGTCTCAATACTATTGATAAGCATTATACACATTACAATCCCAATCAGGAAATATATCTAGTTGCTTCTAAAGCATCCCTTAAAAACTGCTAATAGTTAAGATTCCTTCTGTTCAGGTTTTTTAAAATATGAATCCATTAACCCAATTTGTTAAATGAGTCTGATGAATCAATTTCCTCCTTCCTCACACCCAAATCCACTTTCATAGTAAATATTTTCTCCAAATAATCACTTAAAAATCGTGATTTCTTACTAGTATTTTATTGTGTTATTTTAATCAATTAGGGCACTTTTTTTGAAGCCTCAAAAAGAGAAGAAAACAAAGAAAAATATTAAAACAAAAAATTAAAAACAAAGAAAACAACCAACACTGGTTGGTTCAAATAAGTACATGTAGAAAGAAAGGATGGTAATAAGACTAGTAACCAAAAGCAATGTTTCAGACTTATTCATTCACACTCGAGATACTCGACAACCTAGTGGACGTGTGACGCAAGCTGTCACATTTCCAGTTCGGACTTAGACTTGGTATCACTCCTGGGGACCTTTAGATCAGCTGCTCCAACTCAGTTTACAGCTCATGTGGATGTGACTTATTCCTGCCCTTGTTACCAGGCTGAAGGGTAACTTTACAACCTTTACCAAGAGCTTTTTCTTTCTATGCTAATCCGTTTTCATCTATAAAAAGTCACAGGAGCTTAGCACTTATTTAGAAATGAATGAGTTAAGGAAAAAAAAAAAAATGAATGGCTTAGACATGAAAAGTTTAATCAACAGCCTCAGCTGAGTAGAATTTTTTTAATGTTAAAAATAAGGATCATGTCAATACAAGACTTAAACACAGCTAGAATGACTGCATCTTGAAATAAGCTCACCTCCTACATTAAATCTGTAAATTAACTCAAAGTCTACTTGAGGGGCCTTCACAATAAAAAAGAAAAAAGAAAAAGAAAGAAATCCTTGCCTTACTTGGTGCCTTTAAAAGAAAAAAAAAATCATTTTGACTAATCATTGAGACCTCAAATTTTACTTTTTCGTTTTAAAGTACAGATAAATTAATTGCTTGACAACTGAAGTCACTTACATGATTAGATTTCACGTTCATTTTTAAATTCAAACAGAGGTCTCATCATTAAAAGTACAGATTTTGGGGAAAAGTAATTACAGCTGTTGAGGTTCACTGTGCTGAAAAAGTACTGTCAAATCATCTTGAAAATATAAGCAAAGGCTTGCACATCTTTTGGTGTCTTCTGGTTTCTCCTTTCACTACACAGAATTAACCAGGCAAGAGAATAAGAACTCAGGCCCATTACAGAATGGTCCCACTCAGCCTTCAGGACACTGGAGATCCTTAGCATATGTCAACTGCCATTATGAACCAAATTATGAAAGAACAACCTATATATTATAAAATGAATCAATGAACTAAGAATTTATTAGCTAGATGAGAACAATGGCACCTGATGCCAAGGCAGAGAGTAGGAGTCATTTTCATGAGGAATCACACCAAATTTAGAAATGAGGCTTAAACGCCAAAAAAAAAAAAAGAAAAAGATACAGATTTGATCATTGGTGAGCATACGGGTAGGTCAGTGTGTTTATGGGTAGATTAGTGCCTGCAGATAGCGACTGGGGAGTCTTTCTTGTTTATCTGAAGCTAAACTTTCAATTAAAAATCCTGCTGTCTATGTAAGCACTGTCAAGAGATAAGACAATCAAGTAAGTGATACGCTATAGTTTTTAAAACTGAATGAGAGAAAAACAGGTGGGACGAGAACTATAGAACACTAAGAAAAAAAAAAGCATAGCTCTTTGAAAAATATGTGCATGCAGATAAGCAGTAAAATAGCATAACCTTCCTGACCTTGTAAATAGGTGGGCCAAAATATTTAAATATTTTTAAGGAGCAACTGTTATTAATTGCCACATGAAGTTATTAGCCCTTACTGGCTAAATCCTTCGGACATCTGCATCCAACATGCCCATGCCTCCCAGCTCCTGAGTCAAACGAAATCATTAAAAACATAGATAATCCCAGTTATTTCCTTACATAACTAAAGATTAAAAAAATAATAGGAACTCCAAAAAAAAATACACCAAAACGGACAACACTGTACCTTGCTTTAATGTGCCAGGTGGAAGGTTGCTTCTCAGCCCACTGAACTGCACTATCCACCAAGACCAGCATCTTGGCATATATGGCACAAATGCCCCCATTGAATCATCACTGTAAATAACCTCAGAAAACTGGACTCTCTTTCCAAGATCTACAGTAACAAAGGCAGTGACCATAACCTTAACTTTGACGTCCCCTGTGGACACATACGGCCAAGCGAAACTACAAAGGCTCAGTTCTTACAGGGTACCCTGACCCTGACACTAAGATAAATGTGGGTTAAGGTTCCAAGTTCACTGAACTCTTCTGAGTGTGAGTGCAGTAGGTGGTGACATCCAAGGTAGTGCATTGACCTCTAGCAACTCTTACTTCCCACTGAGAATCCGAAGAATACCCTAAAACATGGATTGCCAGTAGACAGGATTTCGTTTCTGCTGCAAGGGCAAAGTGTCACCTAGAAGTACCCCTCCAAACAAACACACACACACACATACACACACACACACACACACACACACGCACGCACGCACGCATGCTGTGTCTTGCGGGTATTGCAATCAAAACTATGTCAAAGTTGCTTTTGTAAAATGTTTAATTTCTCCAGAGTGAATGGATGAGAGAGGGAGGGCACAGGCAGCACCAGAAATCTTCTTCCAAGGGAGCCAAAATGCAGTGTGTGTGACAAACCTCTATTTCCCGGGTCCACGGGGACTGATGGCTTCACCAACGTGGGAATTAGCAGCCTAGGGGCCTGGGTGAGAACCGAGCCGGGGCTTACCTTATTGGAGGCCATCTCACTGACGGAATGCCTGGTCTGCAGGGTCTCTAGCTGGTCCAGACACCAGTCCAGCTCCTCCAGGGTCTCGCTGGCCAGTTTCTGGTAGGCCTCCTCTGCGAAGAGATAGGGAAAGGGGGACTCAGTTCTCAAGCGCTTCACGGGGCCGCCGGCGAGTTCAAAGGGAGCCATCCTGCCGTACCCCGCCATGCTCGGATGCCCGGCGCCCGCACATGAGGGCTGCTTCTTCATATTGCCGAGCCGGGCACCGCGAGGGGGGCCGGGGCTCTGCTAGCGGGGCGGCCGGCCTCGGGAACGCACGCCGTCTCCAGCTTGGCGTCTCCGTTCGGCGTCCAGGGAGGGCGCGCCAAGTGCGCCAAGCCAACTTTGCCACGGACCAGAACCCCCACGATGCGACTTTGAAGAAGTCCTGGTGCCGGAGGATGGCGAAGGGGGGTGGCGCGCGCGCCCAGGAGCCCGCCCCGCGGAGGGAGCGTCTGGTCCTCGGCGCGATCTGCGCGGCGACCGGCCCGAGCCGCGGCCCCACGCCCGCCCCTCCTGCCGAGCCCTCACTCAAAGCGAATGAATCAGCCGCGGCCGGCTGCGCGGCCACCACGTTTCCTGTTTTCTTTCTCAACTCCTCCGGCGGCGGGCGCAACGCGGCTCCATCGCCGCGGCTTTCCGGGAACACTCCCCCTCGCGCCCCGCACGGCCCTCAGCGCCGCCCGGCCCCTCCACGACTCCTTCACGCCTAGATAGCCCGGGGCCACGGCCCGCCCGGCCCCCTTGTCGCCCCGCCGCTTCGCCTCCGCATCAAACCGCGCGGTCCCGCGCTGCTCGCTCCGAGGAGCGGGCGCGAGCGTGTGTTTCCGTGGGGCTGCCAGGGACCCGTGCTAGGGGAGCGGCGGAAAACCCGGCGTGGAGAACCCGCCGCCAGCTCGCCGGCCACCCTGGGTCGCGCCCGCCGCGGGGCTCAGGGGGGACCACACACGCACGCGCACGCGCGCGACCGCGCACCTGGCCCGCAGGGACCCCGCACGCCCAGCCCGTCCGGGTCGCCCCGAACCTCCGCGTCTCCACCACCCTGCGAGCTTTCCCTGGAGAGCCCAACGGGTCGCACAAACTGGGTTATTTAGGACGCGCGCAATCAGTTTCCGTGGGTTTGGATTTTAGGGTTTCTGGGGGTTTAGGATTTACCTACTTGAAGAGGACAGGGCGGTTGTGGGAATTAAAAGTATTTGTATTAAGACCAGGCTGAGTACCCAACCCAGCCCCGACGTCTAAATTTTGGGGTGGACATAAACGAAAACATACAATGTTGTGAGCCAGCACTCCTTAGAATTCACAGATTTGACAATATGCTATATTTTCACATTCAGAATTGTCTGAGTTATCTTCAACGGCAGTGTGAATGCACCACGCCTTATGGGCATAGGCAATTTATGCCTATGTTGCTTCCTTGGTCAGAGAAACTGCAAATCAGGGAGGAGGGTGGTATTGCAATGCTAAGGGGAAGAGTCTGAAAGAGTGTTTCTCCGTACCATGCACAGAATAAAGTACAAACTTGAGAAAAGACTACATTCAAAGACATCGTATGGAAGCAGGTTCTATTCACAAAAACTGACCCTGGGGGAGCTCTACCATAAGGGATCAATTGCAGAGAACTTCACTCTATTAGCCTGCAGATAAGCAAACCTTTCAGAGCAGGAAAACATCCAAACTCCCAAGAAGAGTCCATCTTATGAAACTTCCGTTATTGTCAGTTAGAAAGCATAATCAGAAAAGCTTACATGAAGTTGGTGTGATCATTTTTCTTGGTCTTCAAATCTACAGGTATCGGAGAAGAAATTCTGCCCTTGAAATTTGGACTCCACTTGCCTTGAAATTTGGTCAGTGGCACAACAAAAAATTTCATGGACTGAATCTCAGGCTCTTGGGTTTTCCAGATAGGTTTTTATATAAAATTTATAAAAGTTAAAATAACTTTCAAAGTATTTGTTACATGGACCATGTGGCTGTTATCAAGGATTCCTGAACTGTTTGCTATTCACTTTGAGAACTCTAGGTTAAAAACTGCCTCTTTTATTCCACTTTTTTTTTTTCCTGCACCAATCTCTGTAAATATTTCTTTCAGTGAACCAACACCTACCTAACCTTGCCAGGTGAATTAAAGTGTAAGATTGGAGCTTTTCCCCCCAATAAAGGAAAAACCTTAAAGATAATCTTAAATCACAAGTATAAAGTAGTTTATCTGTACAGCCTTTCCCTGGTTAAGTATATAAAAATGTAACACGTTTGTTATAAAATCTGAAACAAAGATGGAATGCAGAAAGTTCCTTGTAATCCCATACCCTAAAGATCACAAGCAATCATTAAACCTATGACCATAACACATTTTCATTTTACTTAATATCTTCCATATGTAACTATAGCTAACCTAGTTGTGATGGTAGTACGTGCACTATGTGGTTTTATTTTGGATTTTTCTTTCCTCTAAGGTATAGGATAAGGATGTATGAATTTTAAGAGGAAATTAACTTATTTCAGTTGATTTGGGCCATCCACAGTTAGCACATCCAAGTGGGTTAAAGATGCATAACCACTGTGTCTAGGATTTGTTCACTGCCATCTTTCCAGTCACTGATTATATCCGGAAGCCAGGAATCCCCTCTCCCCACCTCAAAGGCTTCATTGTTGTGTTTCTCTCCCCTGTTTTCCAATTTTTCCAAAATCTGAGCCCCAGGGGACCTCCCCATCTCCCTTCCCATCGTCCCCAACTTCTTGAAGCTTTTCAGAAATATAGGCCTTGGACCTAGCAGGATGTGGCTCCACCTGTTACACTTTAGTGTTTAATTTTTAATCCTAAGAGTAGAAAAGTAATTCAGCAAAGTTTCAATGCGTCAAGACAATATGCACTCAAATACCAGACCTGCTCTTAAGAAGGCAGTACAGTGACAAGATGGACAGCTTGTTTCAGAAGATCTATTTTATGTGCCAATCATAGATTAGCCCCTCTGACAATCAGCATTTGAGCACAATAAAAATGTGGTCTGTGTACGTATTTTAGGTTCTAACTACCTTTGCATGCACTGTATAAATTGGAGAATGAAAAAAGAAAAAAAATGACCAGAGCACATCTACATACCAATTAAGAAAATAATCACTAACAACAAAAAACAGTTATATAAAATTGCTGCTCAAATAAAAAATTACTGTTAAAACAAGAAGAATTACTGCTGATATTAGCATAGAGCTGAGAATACTACTTTTCCCAAATTCCTAGGTTGATAGGCAATATGGCTAGCCACAGTTGTTCAGGATCAGTGTTAGTGCTGAACTTTTAGGAATTTTAACCCCAAATGTTGTTAAGACATTGAGTAACTGACCTTCTCATCCCCACTAAAAAAGCCTCAATGTGGAGTTTCCTGCTATCCTCCAGGAAACTGAGTCACCAAACAACACACCTAAATGTCACCAACAGCTCGCAGGATGAAAACAGTGTGAGCTAGTTTAATTTGGGGTTTTACCAAGAACACACACTGCATTCATTAATAAAATACTTTTCTCCCCAGAGAGTAGCCATCACCGTGGCACTACTTGAAAATATATGAAAACTCTTTTATTTCCCTGTCTGAAGTCTAACTAAGTGAAGGAACTACAGGGAGAAACTGCCTAAGCAACAACTCTTGGCCAGATTCCATAACAGCCGGGCGAGGGCTCTGGAACGGCAACTGAGAAATAACTCGAGCGTTTGGAAGTCTCCTCCTACGGCAGCATCGGTTTCCTTCAAGGCCCCCTTGAACTATGTGACACCCGTGTTTCTGTTCAGGATCTTCTGTGAACAAACAGTCCTCAATTCTTGCAGGCCAGCACTTGGCTTCCGTCACTGTGATGCGATCAAGGGTTCCCCTGACACACAGCCTGAACCAGTGCCAGGAGCTCCAGGAGAAGATGCTGAAGCAGCAGCTTCCTTTTGAAAAGGGTAAAAAAAAAAAAACTAATCGCCTCAGAGCCACAGCGGTGAGCTGGAGGTTGAGGTCGTTTTCTTGTGAAATGTTCAGTCGCTTACTTTTACCCACAAGTTACAGGGATATTGACCATTGAGGTAAAAGGATCCATTCTACGTAATGTGTGACTCTGCGGATGTCAGTTTCTTTGCCAACTCTTGACTGATTAAAGGTCTGTATAAATTTGTCATAACTCCTAGACAGGCTTATTGGTGTAAATGAAGAGAACAAGTCAAAAAAAAAAAAAAAGTCACTTACTTTGGACACCATTTGCTTACCCTTAATTAAAAAAATAAATATAAACTGTAACAGCTGATTCATATTTTTCTTAAAGTTTAAAAAAAAAAGCCCTTCACTAAACAGCTCTGAAGAACAAATATTAATAATTAAATACATAACTTTTTAAACAATTCCAGCTTCCTCTTTCTTAACTCCCACCCAAATTCCCTCTTTGTTCCTAAGGATGGAGTTGATAGTGTCTAAAGTAGGTAGAACTAGAGAAATATGATTTCCATTTCACCACGTATTACTCCAAGCTAGTCACTCCCCGAATTTAATACAGTAAAAGACTGGTTCAGTTTAGCTCTAACTTTTCCAATTTCTTTTTTCTGTCTATACATTTTATCTGATGGGAAATACATGAAGGAGTTGGATTCACTTTCAATGTGTACATGTAACAGGTTTAAGCAGAGCTTGCCAGTGGCAAGCTGTTCTCATTTCCAAGTGTATTTCTGGCATCAAGTTCTTGCTTTGAAATCTTATGAAAAATATAAAATTTCACTTAGTACTTCAAAAAAACCTCTAAGGAAAAGGTATACATAATTTTGTGAGTTTTTTTCCGTATCTTCCCACTATCCGTGATTTTTTTCCCTTGGTCTGCCTAAGGCTGCAGGAGAATTTTTTTTAATGAAATAAATGTAAGATTGGGTTTTGTTGACTTCTAGTACAATGGCGCTAATGGTCAAGAATCCACCTGCCAATGCAGGAGACCAAGAGACGTGGGTTCGATCCCTGAGTCAGGAAGATCCCCTGGAGTAGGAAATGGCAACCCGCTCCATTGGAAAATTCCATGGATCGAAGAGCCTGGCAGGCTCCAGTCCATGGGGCTG